TAAAGGGAAAATGAGTTCAAGCCATTTGTTTGATAATATATTTTACTGTGTGGTGTGGTGTGGTGTGCTTTGGAGTGCTGAGCGATCGAATCTAAACGTCATTTAGCATCCTTTATGAAACACACTAGGCGAGTGTCAATATAAATAAATATTTATATATATAAAATTAATGGCACGATAAACTAATTTTATATATATATATATATATACAAAAGTGTGTATTCTTTTCTGTCATTACTCCACGCTTTGTCCATCTATATACGACAAATTCTTGTGGCCCTATATAATATAATACAATACAGATTTCTTCTTTAAAGTAAATAAGCAAGTAAAAGAAAGGAATAATTGCAGAATAAATATAGTATTACAATCTACCTCAACCACGCCCCCTTTTGTTTTACTTTGGCCAAAATCTACATTTTCATCAGATTACAAAGAGTGTCAGTGTAACAAGTTTTGAGATCAAATAAAGCAAGCATACATGGTTACGAATAAGATAAATAGAAAAAGAACTTGCTATTTGTGGCCCAGTATCTTGTGCAAAGAAGGAATAAACGTTTTATTCCCTTCTTGTTTCAATTTTTTTGCTTATATCAAATTGAGTAATCAAAAGTACCTAAAATATTTATATATATATATATATGTATGACCTTATTTCAAACGATCTTCTTTCTCTCTTTCTCTCTTTCTTACTTTCTATTACTATTATTCTTGGTTGAATTTATTTATAAGAGTTATATATTGTAAGTCTATATGCTTTCTTTAATTATTGATTTTTATGTTACTATCAAGACAAGATAGATATATAGATATATAGATATATAGATAGGTTTAGATGACGTAAACATCTAGTTAGTATTCTTTCTTTTAAAAAAAATAAAGTCTAGTATGTATAAAAATCAATAATTAATAATTAGTAGTAGTATTAGTAATCTTCTACACATCTTTCAATACCTATATATATATACACTTGGGTCAATTCAATTCAATTCAATTCAATTCAATTAAATATATATATATTGAAGGGAGAACTGGGCTTTCTAATTCTTAATTCTTAATTTTTCAATTTTTCAATTTTTTTTAATAACAATTTATTTATTTTTCTTCTAGTATTACGCTTATTGCTCTTTCTTTCTTTCTTTCTTTCTTTCTTTCTTCTTCTTCATTATGCTAATATTCCATTTATAGCACAAACACACACATACATGTATATGTACTCATATGTATATATATATATATATATATAATCATATATACCTTACGCGTCACCACTGCTTTGCAGAATGCAGCCTGGATCACTTTACGCCGATCATTTTCCATCGTCATTTAACCATTCATTGGCACAAAATCTTCAAATGAGATCAAATGACAGTTTGGTAAACGAAATTAACACCTCATTTTTAATATTTCCTTTTATTTTATTTTATTTATTTTTTTTAAAAAAAAAAAAGTAGAAAACAGAAAAACGAATTCTTTTTTACTCATCTTAATATATTATTTATTCATTTATTCATTTGTTCATTTAGACGTTTGATTCTCTTATTATTATTCCAACATTGAAATCACTTCAAATTCCTTTACCTAACACCATTACCACTTCCACCGCAAACTACAAAACCAAAACCAAAACCAACAGTAACCCAAATAGAATAATTACAAACTTTATCCAACCGGTGTCACACACCAGCAACAATTCAGATCACGCCGATACAACGGAACATCATCAACACACCCACAGCAAAAGGGATACTGGCTCATCAGCAGATACAACAGGGTCAGTGCAGCCAGGAGCAAAGAAGGAGAATGAGGAGGACGAGGAGGTGGTGATGGATGAAATAGAAGATGAGGAGGAGGAGGTGAAAAAAGACGAATCCTCAAAAACCAAGTCGGGTAAACCTCACCTGCAGGCCAACGTCACACGATTTGATTTTAAACAAGCTTGCCAACACACGTTTACCTCGGAAGCCTCTCTTTCGGCTCTTCCAAAACCCAAACCAAAACCAAAACCCAAGCAGATTCTTATTCATCATACAATTCCTCCTACAATGGTGGTTGGAGCAATACCATCCAAGCCAAAATCCAAACACAAGACACACAACCACAACCACAAACAAGGCTACAGCCACAACTACAGCCTCAACTACAACTACAACTACAACTACAACTACAACTACAACTACAGTTACAATCATCATCATGATAATGATAATGATAATAATAACAGTTATAGCCATGATCACAGCCATGATCACAATCACAATCCACGGAACCTATCGTCTCCTTCCGCTCAGCAAAACCCAAACCCAAACCCAAATACAAATACAAATACAAATACAAATATAAACACAGGCACAAGCACAAGCACAAGCACAAATACAAATACAGATCCATATACAAACTCGATTGATATCATTAGGGTTGACACTTCATCCACATATCTACCAACAGATCAATCTTGGGACCCCCATATTGATGCCTTTGAGATCTTGCGGGCCAAGATTATCGGTATCACAGAAGCAATGCAAGAGTTTCACATTTATGAATTGCCACTATTAGCGAAAGACCAATCACAAACAACACCAATCGAAACCATAATGAAAACATCACTACCATCAACATCATCAACCGCAACCACAACAATAACCGTAACGCCAACAAACCCACTGCCACTTTCACTACCATTACCAATAACCGCTCTTCCACCACTAATTACAACAATAATTACACCAATAACAACACCACTACCACCAAAAACAATAACAATACCAATTTCATCTACTCATTTTATTACTGCCCAGTCTTTGAAGCCATTTATTGGAACAGAACCTACGACCAATATAGCCAACATAATCAACACAACCAACTCATCCAACTCATCCAATGCATCCAACGCATCCAATACAACCACTATGACTACGACCACAACCCCAACCGCCACATCTACAGCCACCACAACTGCAGCTACCTCTACTGCTGTTGCGACTGCTACTGCCACTTCTACTGATATTACTACTACTACCAGCTCTGATACGATTACTACTGATGATGACAATAATAGTAACAGCAAGAAAAATACTACTATTACGACTACAACTACAACCACGACTACGACCACCACTGTTACTACTGTTACTACCACGATTACAACCAGCGGGGCCGTCCACGTCTCCGACACAATCGGCATGAGTCCACGTACAAGCGATAGTACAAGTACTACAAGCACTGCCGTTAGTACCAATAGTGATCTGAGCAGTAGCAGCAATAGCAGCAATAGCACCAATAGCACCAATAGTAGCAATCCTAATAGTCCCAATAGTCACACGGCCCACTTTTTACACCGTCGCACCCGATCCCACGGCAATCTTATTAATCTAGTTGGACCAAAGAAGCTCTCAAAACCTATCAATGGCGCTGCTATTGTGTCTGTTGCTTCTAATGATTATCACGATGATGATGATAATAATAATAATAATAATAATAATTATAATAATAATTATAATTATAATAATGACGGTGATTCTGCTGCTATTGCTATTACTGCTGATACGGATACTGATACTGATGCTGGCTATAAATGGTCCAACCAGATTTATGAAAATGGTAGTAAAAGTAATAGTAGTAGAAAATTGATTTCTACAGGGTCACTATCCAACCTGTTTCACACGACCAATACCCTCGTCCACTCGCGACCGAATGAAATCCAAGGCACCTTTGTTGACAAACCTATTGCTACTGACATTGACAACAAAGATAATGACAATATTGATATTGGTATCAATAATAATGATAACGATGATGATGATTGGTACAACCATGATTACAATTCTAATTCATTGGCCGCTGCATGGCGATCAGATTTTCTGCAATTGATGTCGAATTGCATCGGTCAATCCGAACAACTTGAATCGATCTCTACCGAGTTACTTGGAGTTGAAGGAAAGACCAGGGCATTGGTCATGCTCGAGCAGACAATCGCGGCTGAATTCGAGGAACGAGAAAAGAAATACAAGGAACGGTTGCGTGAGTGCGAGCTGGCATCGCAGCAACAGCAAATGATGATCGAGAGCTTGGAAGATCTTGTGGCAGATCTGGAGTTAAAGATCGAGAATCCTCACGTGCCGGTGGGTATCAGTGAGACGTTTGGTACACAACTACTAAAGCAACAACGAGAACGACAGCGAGAACGGCAACGGCAACGGCAACGAAAGAATAAAAACAAGCATTGCTCATATTATTATTCAAATGAAGAAGACATGGATCTCTGTCGGTGGGGGTTCCGGAAGAGAGTTGTTGATATACTTGATATCAAGACAAAGATTGATTGGGTATACAAGGCACGATGGGAGGTGGCAATGCTGCTGGGTGGTGGAGTAGGAACTGGTCGTGTCATACATACGTTTGAAGGTCGCTTGCATGGAGTGGAAATGATTATTGCGGGTTCAGGGTTGACTGGACAGCACCCGGAAGAAGAGGTAAGAATTACTATGGTTAAGGGTTATGACTATGGTTTAATTTGAGGTGTAGAAGTGTATTTTAGACTAGTGTAGAGGGTAACTAATTTAGGATAGTTTTAGGATAGCATAGTCTAGTATATTAATAATCTTCTTTAATTATAAGCATAAGCATAAGCATAAGCATAAGCATAAAAAAAACAATATTAATGATAATAAATAAATAAATGAATGAATGAATGAATGAATGAATGAATAAACGAATGAATGAATAAATAAATAATATTTTATACTTTTTTTTTTATTTATTTATTTGGTGAATTTCCTTTTATTTTGATTCTTTTGCTTGTTTCTTTTTTTTTTACATTTTTTTTTCTTACAAAAAAAAAGAGTTTTACTGGTTACCGCTCTAGCCGCAGACAAGCAGGTCTTCAAAGACATCACTACATGCTTCACTTATTACCTCGAGACAGGAAAACCCGGTTTGTGCTGCTACCAAAGGATCAATGGGTACCTGACAAGGAAGCTGACAAATGTCAATATGAACAAATATCTCACGACACCATACAGTCCTGCTCAACCAGATTCTCTTTCTTTCAACGAAAGCATCATTGTAGAAGGTAAAAGACAGAGTTAAATATTACTATTTTGTTGATCAAGAGTATCTTTATATTAACCTCTCTTTTTTTTACATTCCTTTTCTTTTGTACCTGTGTGTATGTGTTTATTGTTCTAAATAGGTGTGGAAGTGTAATCTGTCAAAGACACAGTTCAAATTCTCTGCCTTTGTTCCACCCTCATACTTTCCGTAACACAGGCCAGTGGAGCCGTGTCTGTGACATGTGCTTTCAAGATCTTGTTGTTCCAAATCCATGATATTCCCTTTTCTTCTTCTTCTTCTTCTTCTTCTTATATTATTTATTTATATATATATATATTTGGTTTTCTTGTGTATATATTCTATCATCATTCATTCACTCATTCACTCATTCACTCACTCACTCACTTGCAATTTGTCCCATTTCAATTTTTACATTTATCATTATATATATCTTTCTTTCTTTCTAAATATTTTTTTTTTCATTTTTATTTATTTATTTATTCTTAGATTTTATTTATCAGCATCAGCATCAGTAGCATTTATTCCTTTTCTTTTATTTCTTTGATAATAATTCACCAGACCATAGCATATAATGATAAATATTATTTATTTATTTTTTAAGAAAAAAAAATACAAATAAACGTTTCAAAATAATATTACTATTAATAATACTCCAAACATTGAAACAAATAAGGAATCAATTCAATTCAAATCAATGATTCTCTCTCTCTCTCTCTCATTTTTATCTTTTTATCTTCTTCTTTGTATTTTGTATCTGTTTATCTCAACTAATTTATTTATTATTTGTTTGTTTGTTTGTTTGTTTGTTTGTGCTGGTTGTGCTGGTTGTGCTGGTTGTGCTGGTTGTGCTGGTTGTTTTGAAACAACAACAACAACAACAACAACAACAAAAAGAGTCTTGTCCGGTCAACGGAAAATAAATATTTCTTTTTTTTAAAAAAATAAAATAAAAGAGCATTGAAATATGTGATAAAAAGAAAGGAAAAGAAATTGAAAAAAGGTTGTTGTTTTGTGAAAGAACTTTAGATATTTATAGTAAAGAAAATAAAGTGGTTGTTTTTTTTTGTGGGGTAGTCAAGTTAGATAAAGGAGTGGAAAGTTGGAGAAGATCAAATAAAATAAAATAGAAAGCATGAAAAATAATAAATAAATAAATAAATAAATAAATAGATTGATTGATAGATAGATAGATAGAAAGGTAAAGAGGAAAGATTTGTAATTATGTGCAAGAGTAAAAAAAAATGAAGCTTTGTGTGAAAGAGATAAAGAAGTAGATAAAGAAGCAGTGAAAGTGTGTTCTTGAGGGCTTGAGATAATTGATAAAGTGAATAATTGAGTAAAGAAGTAACAAATAAATAAATAAATAAAAAGGAAAGGAATGGAATGGGGGTATTGAAAGAATAGAATAGAATAGAATAAAATAAAATAAAATAAAATAAAAAAAGATGTTATTCAAAGTTCAAATAATAAGTAATAGTAATAATAATTAATAATTAATAATCGATCAATAGATTAATTGATTAATTGATTAATTAATTAATTAATTAATGATCAATAAATGTCTCCCAAGAAATCCATCTTCTTGTCCTCGGTTTCCCTTGTAAGATTGCTGACTGTATTGCAGTCACTGACAATCGCCATCTCAATCGATCCTTGCCCACGCTCGAATTCATAGACCATGGTCAGAAGTGGTGCAGCAGGGATGTCCTTTATTGCTGTAGAGGAGCAAGAGAGAGGAATGTTGAACATCAATGATGAGTCTATAGTATGACTGGTTGGGTGCTGAGAAAATAAGGAAGGCATGGTTGATTGATTCAGACTGTCATTGAGCACAGACTCTGGAGTTGCTGTTGATGCTGCTGATCCTGATCCTGATCCTGACCCTGATCCTGGGACTGAGGTTGATGCTGATACTGAGGCTGATGCTGTATTAGTAGCACTAGGTTGTGGGATTGTATTTCCGTACTTTGCTTCTACATCCTCAAAGACCTAATGCACACAGAGATTATTAATATTTATTATATGTAAAAAAAATTATATATATAAAAAGAGTCGTATAAAATGTAATTTACCTGAACTAGGCACAGATTGTTTATCGCAACATCAATCTCATTCCAAGCAGGAAGGGCACGAATACCTTTCATAAACGCATCAAAGAACTGGTTGACACATACAAAGCTATACATGTATTTTCCTTCGTTTAACCACAGTGCCTGCTGGATTTCCTTGGACTCGAGTACAATTGCACCAAACGAGTAGATCGTACTAGTGCATTCGATCGTGCGTCTCTCGGATGTTTCAAAGAAGGAGGTGTTATTAAAGTAAAATTCTGATAAATTGAGATTGATATCCAATTTCATCTACAGATAATATATAATATCATTATTAATAACATAGTAATAAATAGTGATAATGATAATGATAATGATAATGATAATTATTATATATGATATTATACTATACTATACTATGCTATACTGTACTGTACTATACTGTACTATTCTTAATATATATATATGTATGTATGTATGTATATGTGTGTGTGTGTATGTGTGTGTATTTTTATATATATTAATATATACATATATACCCACAAGCATACCTTTGCTAATAATGTCACATCTGCAGGAGTAGCGGTCAGTTCCAAAAGAGAAGGACATTTCTCTTTTGAAATCGATTCTGCATTCACAACAGGAAGATACTGTGGTTGACATTGAGTCAATTGAGCAAGTGTATGAGAAGCAATGATCTATCACCAAAAGAGAAAGAAAAGAGAAAGATAAGAGAACAATAATAATAATATAGAAGAAAAAGTAGTGTTAATGATCCAATATACATATACTTGTAATTATACATAGAAATACACACTAGCATCTTAACACACTATCACACTATCACACCAGTACACTAGTACACTAGTACACTAGCACACTAGCACACACAAACACATTCACAGATATATACATATATACATATATACATATATACATATATATATATATCATATAATTCACCAACTACTACCACCACTATCCTCATAACCATCTTATTCGTTCACTTTTGTCTTTTTTTTTTCTTTCTTACCAAGTTATTGTACGGAGGTGGGTACTCAAGATATAGACAAATATAGCTGGGCCACATGGCAATTGATGCACTATTGTCCGCATACGCAGACTTTTTTTGAACCCGCTTTTGGCATTCACCATCGACAGAAATAAATCCAGAATGTGCAGAAGACTGGGACATGGTTGTGGATCTTGGCTTCCATTTGGGATCGACCAAAGATGTCTCGAGACAGAGTAGGTCTTCGGGGGACAGCAACATATTGTCTCTGGCGTGTACACCATAGAGGTCTTGTTCGGAAGGATAAAAAAGAGGATTAGCGATCTCGTTAGGGGACAGCATGGACACATTCTGGAGAGACGAAAATGATTCGAGCCCCCCAATTGAAGTAACGCCAGTACTGCTGTTGTTGTGCGTATGGTGGTGTGTATGGTTGCTGCTACTCGTACTGCCATTTGTATTTAGATTTAGATTTATATTTGCACTCGCACTCGCACTCGCACTCGCACTTGTACTTGTACTTGTACTTGCACATATGCTGGCACCGGTACCGGTACCGGCACCGGCACCGGCACTGGAGCTCATAATTTTACTTTTACTTTCACTTGCACTAGTACTTTCGTTTGCGCTTGTACTCGCACTTGCACATTGACCTGCACCTGGACCTGCACATGCATTCGTACTCGTACTCGCAATCGCACTCACGCTTGTACCAGAGCCTGTACTTGAACTTGTACTGGTACTTGTACTTGCGCTGGAAATGCCAGTGCCACTGGTATTATCACCTGCAATTACACTTGCATTACTGCTGTTTATACTACTACTAGCGCTGGCACTGGTACTATTTGGGGCCGTCAGTCTTGTTCCGTTATTTAGAGATGATTGAGAGTTTGGCACGTCAAGTGCAGACACTGATCCGATATATGGTTGAGATGACAAGGTCAATAGGTCGGTCATGTTGAACAGCGATTGTTGGAGGGATTCATAAAATGGATCTTTGATATCCGGCATAGTAAATGTGCTGGTGTGTTGAGAGTCGCCGCACATGAAATCAAACATGCAGTCGGCGGGTGAAGGGGACGAACTAGTGGATGATTCGTCGGATGAAATTGACTCGGATGAGTGGGCGGTTGTGATGATCTTTGAGCGAGAGTTTTGGTTTGCATTTGTAGTTCCATTTCCATTTCCGTTCCCGTTTCCGTTCCCGTTTCCGTTTCCATTTCCATTTCCGTTTCCGTTTCCGTTTCCGTTTCCGTTTCTGTTGCTAGTGGATGAGAGACCATGGGTATATCTTGATTGCATTGGCTGATACTGAGATCGCTGTCGATTCATTATATTTTTGGTTGCACGCGGTTTCTGTACCTCGTCTGGATCGACTGTGTCAGTCAAAAGACGCATAACTGTGTATTTGTGTGTGTGTATATGTATATGTATATATGTATTTATGTATCATTTTTTTTTTGGTTTGTTTATTATTGATAATGATATTTATGATATTTTGTTGTGTTAATATATATGTATATTTATTTATTTATTTATATACATGTACACATCTATTTTATTCTTTAAAAAAAAAAAAAAAAAAAGTGAATAATGCTGCTTACAATAAATGTCACCTTTGCGGGTATTCTTCAAGACTTGTATGTGGGAAGAAACTTGCTTTCTTGTCCGGACCTTGGAAGTCTTTCGAAAGATGTAGTCTGAAATCAGTTCGTTGCGTCCTAATGATAATAATAATGATAATGATAATAATAATGATAATAATAGTTATTAGTATCGATTATAATTAATTAAACTGTAGCTGTAATTATCATTATAATTCCTATTGTATTGAATTATTATCAGTTACCACAAGGCTTTCCATTCACAAGTATTTTACGTCTTCCCAGCTTTGGGATCGTTTCGAGAGCTAACAAAAAAAGGCAAGAATACATATATAAATTATTTCTATGTTTGTTGCCATGGATAATGCTATCTTTATCTCTATATTTGTTGCTATGGTAGTCACTATGGTAGTCACTATGGTTATCTCTATGTTTGTTGCTATGTTTGTTGCTATGGCTATCTCTATGTTTGTTTCTATGGTTATTTCTATGGCTATTATAGTATATACCTTCAATAAAGGCAGACTCTACATCTGGTGGCCAGACTTGCTGTTTGTTGGATATTTAGATTAGTATGTAATTCTTGTATTATTTGAACTTGTGCATCCTTTGGTATTCTTTAAATTTATATATGTATATATGTATATATATCTATTTATTCTTTTATTTTAATTTTTTAATTTTTTTTTTAATCCAACAACCTGCCTCCTCTTTTTCTTTTCCGTGGTCGCTCAATGTGGTATTGCTATCAGAACCGATGGGCTGATCTTTCTTCAATGTCTTTAATCTCTTTTCTTTCTGATATTGAGCATTTGATGCCAGTGGGTTCTGACACTGGTGAGACGGGCCGTGATGATTATGATTGTGATTGTGATTGTGATTATGGTTATGGTTATGGTTATGGTTATGATTTTGGTGGTGGATAATAATACTAGTATTATTGATATTATTAATATTGCTGCTGCTGCTGCTGCTGCTGTTGTTGTTGTTGTTGTTGTTGTTGTTGCTGTTAATGTTGTTGTTATTGTTGCTGCTGTTGTGGCGAGTTATTTGGTTATTTGGGTAACTGCAAGAGTGGTAACTGCTGTCATGGCTAGAATCCAATGTTCTGCTGGGAGAAATGATCTCCTTTTTTGTTGGTGTGGACTTGTAGAAAGAATCTTGAGAGCAAGCGAGCATGATCAGGATCGAATGGGACGGATTGAAGGTTCTCTCTTTCTCTTTGTTGTTGTTTTTTTCTCTCTTCTTCTTCTTCTTTTTATATTACTATTTATATATGTATATATTTACTATTTTATTATGCTTTCTGTATATCTTTTGTTTCGTTCTTTATCTTTTATTCTTCTTCTTCTATTTTTTTTCTTTATTCTTTATTCTTTTTCTTTTTTGGATTATGACGGATACAAAAGAGAAAGAGGGTTGAGAATAGAGCGATGGCGAGTGGGGGCTATTTCTAATAAAGATGTGTGTGTTTGTAGTATGTGTGTGTATGTGTGTGTATGTTTGTGTAGTGTGTGTAGTGTGTGCACAAATAAAGATATGTATATATATAAATATATATATATATATATATATGTATGTATGTATGTATGTATATATATGTATATATGTATATATGTATATATGTATATATGTATATATGTATATATGTATATATGTATATGTATACAAATACAAATATAAATATAAATATAAATATAAATATAAATATATATACAAAGTGAGTCTTGAAAGTGAAAGAAACGAAAGTTAGGTGCTATGTAGGAGTAGTATTTTATATTCCAAGGACGTGATATATACAATTCTATACAATTATATATATATAATTATAATTATAATTATACAAGGTGTTGTTTAGTAATATATATCATAGGTAGCCTGTGATTTGATGACTCTTATTTGATAGCTCTCTTTATTTTATTTTATTTTATTTTTCCCTCTTTCCTTTTTACTCTCTTGCTATGATCTGTGCGCATGTGTCTGTGTCGAATGCATCAAGCCACGGTCTTTCATTCCCCTCTCCCTCACTCACTCTCTCTCTCTTTATATATATATTTATATATATATATATTTCTCTTTCTCTTTTATTGGAACCTCCGTTTTCTGCCTATATTCTAAAATTTGATTGGCTCTAGTGTGTACTATTAATCTTCTTCTTCTTTATATATATATATATATCTCACAGTTGCAAATCAGATTATTTATTTAATGAATAAATATGTATATTATAATATATATATATATATGAATTATTATTATTATTATTATTATTATTATTATTATTATTTTTAAAAATAAAGAAAATAATTTCAATAGTAACCAGGCAAATAAATAAATAAAGAGGGGTAAAGTCAAGTAAAAGGACAAAGTCAAAGATGGGGAGATTCTGCGGAATGGAACATGTTTTTTTTATATAATATATAATATATAATATATATATATATATATATATATATAAGAAGTGCAGCTTCCTTTGAATATAATGGAATAGATTGATAGATAATGATTTACGATTTTAATCACAAAGCAGTATTACCAGCTGTTTTATTAACTCCATCGTATTTCTTTCTTACTTTCTTTATTTCTCTCTTTCTCTTTGAAATCAGCCAATATTTCAAATCAACCAAAATGTATAGTAAAATTAATAATAATTATAATAGCTCATTAGATAGTAATTATATATATATATATATATATATATATATATCAGTATTTGAAACAAGATGAGATGATTTATTATTTGTGTGTTTAATGTGGTTGCATCGTTTATCTTCTTTATGTATGCAGCGTCTTACCCCTTCCTTTTTTCTTTTCTCTCTCTCTCTCTCTCTATCTATCTCCCTTGTTGACATGCATTACCTTATTAAATTTCATTTTTTTTTTACCTTTATATATATATTTAATGCAAGGGGTAATGGCAAGGGTAAAAAGTGAAAGTGAGAGGGGGAGGAGAAAAGAGCAAGTATATAAAATATATACATGTCCTTACATTGGCTTTACCCATTGATATTGATATTAATATTAATAATATTTATTTATTTATTGGGATGGAATTCTATGAGTCTTTTCCCTCATTTTTTGTCTGCCAAATGTAAATAGTACTGTCAATGGCGATCTATTCCACCACCAACATTAACATTATCAACAACAGGTATTCCATTATAGTATAGTATATTTCACTTTATTATATTAAATAAATGGACAAATAAATCTATAGATATTCAAGACATTGAGAGAGACATTCAGATATGCAAAAAATGAAAATGAAAATAAAGAGAGAGAGAGAGAGAGAGATAAGAATATAGAAATAAAAATAAAAATAAAAATAAATATCATGGAATGCAAGTCATATATTCTTTACATCTACCTTGCTTATCTATTGATGCCTATTGTATACCAGTTGCTTTCTTCTTCTCCTTCTCCATAGTCACTTTTCACTATTAATCTGTCCAAGACACCTTTGGTGCCATTATTATTATTATTATTATTATTATGATTTTAGAAAATCGTATATTTGTACATGGCTTCTAAATTAAATTATTGATCCTACCAGATGGCACAATGAGATTTTTTTTTTAAAAAATCTTCTTTATAGTAAATTAACATATACTCTTTATTATTATAATTATTACTATTGAACCCTTGAAATATATGTATATATTATATACATTTTTCTTTTCGATCCGTTTGTTGCAATGTTGTATCACCTTACTCATCAGAGGTCTTATGTAATATAGAGAGGGTTTATGTCCATCAAAAGGTCTACAGAAAAATCGTCTTTTCTTTCTTTCTTTCTTTCTTTTTTTTGCTGCTGATGTTGTTGTTGTTGTAACTGCAGGAAAAGTCACATATACATTGCATTAAAAAAAAACAAAAAACAGAGCAAAACAATTCATTCATTCGTCCTCTTCCAGTTCAACTTAACTTAACCCACCCCAACACCAACTCCTTCCATATTTTTCATTTTTCATTATCTATTTTATTTTACTCTAATAATTGAAAAAAAAAAAGAATCTCGGTTCTCTATTTTATCTAAATCCACTAAAGAAACGGTATACATATTCGTTGTTACAGTTGCTATAGTAATAGTAATGATTGATTTTCACAATCAAAAAAAAAAAATCTGTCAAAAGAAACAAATGTGTAATTTTTTGTCCAAGTGTGCGTGTTGTATGTGTGTGTGTGTCTATATGTATATATACATTTTTATGTGTTTTTGTGTTTATTCTGAGCTCTTTTTATTTCCTTTGACAATCTTGACTTCCAGGGCCTTTTTAAACAGAGGGCTGTCAACTTTAACAAATGCGTCAACCAGAGCCTTTTGAGCGTCCTCTTCGTGTTTATAGGTAACGTAGCCGTATCTCAAATAGGTTTGAGTTTCAGGGCACTATAGACAGATAAGTAAATGAATAAATAAATGAGATCATTATTTCTGCATTAATAATAATAATAATCTTACTCTTTGGAATTTGTATTCAATCATTTCACCATATTGACCAAGCTTATTGAAGACCTCTCGTGCCTGATCCAAAGTGGTGACATTATAACCAGTGTAGAAAAAGGTCTTTGTGGGGCTGAATGCAGCAGCAGGTCTGAGTAGGATGGCAGATTTGAACATGTTCTGTCAAGATGACTATTACAAACGAATTATAAAAATTAAAAATAAATAAATAAATAAATTAAATAAATAAATAAATAAATAAATAAATAAATAAATGTAAGAATTGAAACTTTGAAACGAAAAATTATTTATATGTTGTTCTTATTCTTATTTTTTTATTGTCAATATTTGTTTGACAAGTACACTTTTTTTTTTTATTTTGCCACATTACTTTCACAATTACAGGTAAACAGGCAGTCAGATTGATAGACAGGCACACACATACACACAAAAAGATTATTTCCAGTAATTAATTGCGGGCAACAGGGCAACCTTACGGACAGGCTAGAGACTGTCGTGACGTCAATAATGTCACAGTCACGAAATAATGTTAAATAGCCCTCCCTCCCTCCATCCGAAAAAAAAAGAATGGTGTGGACAGACTAAAAGGTTCAAAAAAGCAAAAAAAAAAAAAAAAAAAAGTTCAAATTTTGGCTCAAATTCATATCAGATAGAATTAAATCCTTAATACCACCTCTTCCATCAGGTAAAGACATTTTTATTGCGAGTCTTTGCAGGTCTTACACCTTGTGGCATAAATATTCCACAGAAGTTATATTTTTTTTGCAATTTAATTGGCAATGGAAGAAGACTAGTCAAGTCAGAATCGTTTGAACGTTTTTTTTTTTGAACTTTTCAGTTTGTCTATACCAATTTTTAAGAGAACATAATGGCATTGAAACTAAACAGCTCAGATAAGAGATGTCTACTAAAGTATGCGATCAGGATTATGGTACAGCTTCCGAGCACAGACTCCACAATTTGTACTAATCTGAAAGACAAGGTCTAACAAGAAAAAAGTGGTCATAGTACAAAGAAAGAATATACATATTTTTTTTTTCGGTTAGTTAGATCACAGAAAAATGGGAGGTTCATTATAGCTGATACACTTTAATAAATTGCGTTGACAAACAGAAGCATTTTAAATACGATTTAAAATGTATAGAGAAAGAAAGTGGGTAAATTTTATTGGGTAACTTTATGGACAGGCTGGTGGGTTAAGCTAGAGACCAGGATGATGTTAGCAAAACATTATAATTAAATCTATATATATATATATATATATATATAATTTTTTATTTGAAGTTTGAAGGCTTTAATTATTGTTCCTGATGACCAGTTGCATGTTAAAGATATTGCCTTGGTTTCCTCTCTTGAATTATTATTTTATAATAAGTATTTTATGACATTTGGTGCAGATAGTATAGTATAATAGCTTGATGTTAATATTGAAATATAAAGTAAAAGAAAAAAAAAGCAGTAAAATAATGCATATTTATATGTATATTTGACACCTTCTTTTTGATAAATATTCCTTAGAGACAAGGCGGACATATTATCTTTAGACAGATAAAATGAAGGAAAGAAGGAAAATGAATCTTAAATGCCTTACCATCTTGTACCTCGGAACAGAACTGAATTGAATTGAATTGAATTGAATTCAACTGAACTGAACTGAATTGAACTGAATAATATATATATAGTTATGTTTGTGTCTAGTGCTCGCTCTACCTTGCCAAATATGTATTGACTCCACCTTATATACATATATAAGGTTTATTTTAGAGAAAGATAATGGAGTAGCATTTTATTATATATATATATATATATATTTTAACTCTGTTTTTCTTTTTAGCTTCTTTCCTTATTATATTTTGGGGGGTTGTTGTTGTACAATAATGATATATCACGTTTCAATATAAATTATGTAAGATAGAATTAAATCCCTACGCACAATCATTTATATATGGATAAGATTATTATTTTTACATGATTTTACTACTGTTTTATTAAAAATAATATATAAGGAACCTTATAAGCTATTATCATCAACAATCTTATTCTTTTTTTTTTCTTTGCCTTTATTGATGATGATAACGAACATGGGGTAATTACCTTACCAGGTCTGTTTCAAACGTTATATAAATCGGCAAATGGTAAGGAAATATATATATATGTATATATGTATGTATGTATGTATACATAGAACTGTTATGTCGGTTCAGAATCAATATAGAAAAAAACTACGGCTGTTGAGATGGGTTTAATATTAACAGATAGATAAAAAGGGAAAAAGAAATTGCCAAGCAGTGTAATTCATCTGTGTGTACAAGTATGTTTGTACATACATACATATATGTACATAGATACATACATACATACATACATACATACACACATACGTATAGATATATTATATATATTTATTTAAATGAATCTGTGCAGACAATTCAGAGGGTGTGCAAGTGCAAGTGCAAGTGCAAGTACAGGTACAAGTGTGTATATTTTATGATGTATTTTTTTTTTTTTTGGTTTTAATATTCAGACCAAAAGTATCACAATCTTATTCTACACACCTTTTGTACTGATTTTACTATCCGCCAAGAACAATATTACTAAATACTATTATCAGTTTTTGTATATAAATTAGTGCTATAAAAATACTACAGAAAGAAAGAAAGTAAATGAGAGAGATTTTGCATATTTTATATATTTTATATACACACACACACATTTTGTACACATCAATATTTTAACCTTTTTTTTTTTCTTTCTTTCTTTCTTTCTTTCTTTTCTTTCTTTCCTTTTATTTCCATTTTTCAATACTACTTACTATTACAACTAATCTTGCTTGGTTTCTTGATACACTCGGGAATTATTCATATCTCTCTTTCACCTTTGATTTGACTTGATTTTTATATAAATATTGGAACCATGTCACCTCAAGACACTCCAACCACAAATGGCCCTCTCTCAGCCAGATTCTCACATATTCTAACCAGTCAACCAAGCCAGGCTGTTGTCGACACTTCCCAATGTCTAGGTCTAGCCACCCATTCCGTCGAACCAAAAAATATCCACGTCAGGATCGTACCCAATATCGAGGACGCCAGTCGATGCGTTGTATTCGATATCGTCGACCGTGAATTCCAACCCGGAACATCTATCAAGATCGGCCGCTTTACAGACCGCCACACATCAAGCCACATGTCCTTCAAGAGCAAGGTTGTCTCGAGAGCACATTGTGAAATCTGGTCAGAAGTAGATGGCAAGGTAAAAAATAAAATAAAATAATACTAATAATAATTTCATTTTTTACTGATAATTTGTTTGATTTGATTTGATTTGATATTCGATTCGATTCGATTCGATTTTTTATTTATTTATTTATTTATTTATTTATGTATTTATTTATTTTTATTTAGCTTTACATAAAGGACACCAGATCAAGCTCAGGAACGTTCCTAAACCACATTCGTCTCAGCTCCGCAAACCATGAAAGTCGTCCAACACAAATTCAAGACGGAGACATTGTTCAGCTTGGAATCGATTATCAGGGAGGACAAGAAGAAATATACCGCTCGGTCAGGATGAGATTCGAACTTAACCGTTCTCGCAATCCTCGTCCAATGTCCTACACAATTACCGCTTTCAATAATCTACGTCAATTCACTAATCCTCAAAAGTCATCTATACAATACACCACCACCACCACCAGCAACAACAACAACAACAGTAGTAGTAGCAATGGCAATGGCAATAGCAATAGTAACAGTCTTGTTTTGAGTCAAAAAAACAAAAGAAATCTGGACACAAACCCTAATTCTTCAGCTAGCCATCATTCTCACCTGACAAATGGTGCCAAGTCATGCGATGATGAATCGGCCGTTTTGGCGGGCTCACATCAATATCAGCACAACGAACAACAAGAATACGAATACATAGAAAAAGAAACTGAAGCAGAAGAAAACACAAGTAATGCAGATGCATCAATTGAAGAGTGCTGTATTTGCCTGTGTGCAATGGCCCCCTTTCAAGCCCTGTTCATTTCCCCTTGTGCACACTCATACCACTACAAATGCATCCGTCCACTTCTCAAGAGTCACCCAGGGTTTCAGTGTCCAATCTGTCGCACCTACTCTGACCTAGAAGCCAGTGTTGCTGAAGTAGAAGAGTTGATCAAACCAAAGGCCATCAAAACTGTACATTCCCATTCCCATTCCCATTCTCGTCCTCGTCCTCCTCCTCTGTCCTTTTCATCTTGTGTTTCTTCTTCCTCTTCTTCTTCTCCACCATCATCACCACTTACAGCTGTTCCTGTTACTCCTATTGTTGCTCCTATTACCACCACCAGCACTACTACTACTACTAATACTACTACTACTACTACTACTACTACTACAACGGCCACAAGAACAGTAGTTTCACCTATTACACCTATTTCTCTTACTACACCTAATACAGCTAATGACAGTGCTAATAATAATGCTAATAATACTGCTCCATGGCAAACAATCGAACCACCCTTGTCAATCCTAAACCCAACTTACTCCGAAACCACTAGTGACACTGAACGTAAGTTTTCTTTTTAGCTGAATTGTTTTTTTTATGTGATATTAACATAAATGTACGTATGTATGTATGTATGAATTAATGAACTGTTTGCTATTATACAAGTAGTTGCTAGAGACCGTAGAACAGTGTTTATTGAAGAAACAACTGACCCAATTACTTCTCAACCAACTATCCACCCAGAACCGCCAGTTCACCAAGACACTGCCGAGTCAGAACAATCTTCCAGTCGCCGTGACACCGACCGACGGATGAGTGCCACAAGTCTGATGGAGAAAATAAAAATGGTCTTTTTTGAAAAACGCAAGTCAGTAATAATAACATCACAAACATCACAACTACCACCATCACCAGCACCGTCACCATCATCACCACAGCCAGAGCTACCAGCCCAACCATATCTACAGCCACAAGCAACAAACACAACTTCAATATCAAGATCAGCAGCGGCAGCAGGGATTACTGAACAGCCTTTGTCAAAAAGAACTGGAGGAGTAGGACGTCGGAACAAAGCTAGCAAGAAACGGCCATTGTCTTATCCCAATTTCTGGAGACGGTCTACAACCGAAGAAGATATAATGGATTATTGGCCAGGAAACCCCAACCAGCCCCATGAACTCTCTACATCTCCATCAGCGTCTGCGTCTGCGTCTGCGTCTGCGTCTGCGTCTGCGTCTGCGTCTGCGTCTGCGTCTGCGTCTGCTTCAGAATCTTCCTCCTCTTCATCTAGCCCATCTTCTTCCAGACCACCTCGCCCTTGCATCATCGGTGTTCTGTCTTCCCAGAATATATCCTTGGAACAACCGACCAGAGCTGTAAACGTCAACTTTTCAACAAGCTTATCCTCATAGTACAATACAATACAATACAATACAATACAGCCCTTCTTTCTTTCTTGCTTATTATTTTTTGACAGGTGCACTGACAGACAGACAGAGAAAGAAGTTGATCGATTTGTATTAAAAACAAAAAACAAAAAAAAAAGACGAATTCTTGTTATCCCATACATAAATATACATAAATTATATACACATCTTAGGTTATAAATAAAGTCCCATAACCCATATTATTATTACTAATACTAATACTAATACTAATACTAATACTAATACTAATACTATTATCATTATCATAACTATCATAATTTTATTCATTTATTTGCTTGTACTTTTATATACATAAAAGTATTTTAATATATCATATCATATACTATCACACATTCTTTTATTGGCATCAAAATACATCAAGATTCCTGCACATGGTTTTCAGTATGCAGTAAAATTTAGTACAGTACAGTACAGTACAGTACAGTGTAGTGTAGTGTAGTGCAGACCATTTTGTACTCTTTCTTTTTGTTTTTCTTTGTTTTTTGTTTTTGGCAGTGTAGTAAAATATGCGCACAAATAAACACAAACTAAGGTTTTCTTTCTTTTTCTCTCTTTTCTTAGTCAAAGGTAAGAAGTATATGTGGGTAAAATGGAGATATATATATATATATCTCTAGAGGCAGGGATAGGTAGGAAAAGACCATAAAGGGAATTGAAGAAGGGAGGCAAGTGAAGAAGGAGATTGCGATGCACGTTATAATTAAAGCCAAACCAAAGAAAAGTGATGCTTTTTAATTCACCACAGTAGATTTTTTTTCTTTTTTTTTCTTGTGTAACTTTTTGAGTTTTCTTTTTCTTTTGGATTTTTTTTTTTTACTCTCAGCCGGGAGTAAACTACTTCCTTTTTTGGACAGATAACATTTTGAGCTCCCGGTCGGAAATAAATAAATAAATAAATAAATAAATATATAAATCAAAGAGGGACTGTTAGATGATTTATTTCTTTTCTTTTCATTTTTTTTTGTATGTGTTAAAAATACGTTTTTGATAATCACAAAAACAAACTCAAAAATCTCAAAAAAAAAAAAAAAGACCTATTTTTTTTTTTTTTTACATTAAATCAAATCGCAATAATCCGAGAATTTATTATGCAATACTACCAAGAAAATATGTATATAGATCTACAAGCAAGTTATAGTTGGATAATAATAAAGAAAGATAAAAAGGTAAAATTTGTATTTCTGCTGCTGCTGCTGGGCAAAGATCCAAAGACCAAGAAAAGAAAGTAGTCTTTGATGAGATTGTAATTTCTACACCTCATATTAAAATAGCTGATTAGAGATCTTGTACTATTGATTGCTTGGAAGGGGGTTGAATCAAGTCAGTTTGAGACTTACTGGAGATCTATGCAATTCTACATTTGATTGTATCTTGAAATGATCTCCAGATGGTTCATAATTCATAACTAATTATTGTAGTTTTTTTTAATATACATACAAGGAAAGAAACTAGTCTTGGACGATGAATTCATATGGATGATCTACGTGAGACAAAATATTGTACTTTACAATACTGTGTACAAAGAATGTCTATATCTACACTTGCACTGTATCTAATATGCACCATATCGTTTTATTATTATAAATTCATTAATTAAAAAAAGTTACCAGCATTATTGGTAACAATTTCGTTTTTCTAGAAGAATTTATATATAAGACAGAGAAAGTTTGTGATATGTTACGTGTCATCAATCAGGATATTCTTTGATCACAGGTATCACACGTTGCTCTTGTTTTCTTTCAGCTGATCAACATACACCACACCCACAGTCACAATCACTAGGTGTCATTATGTTAATACACACATAATACAAACTTGGCTAAACCCAAAGAGAATAGGTCTCACTACAGCTACACTTGCACTACCAATATAAATATATATGTATTTCTGTCTTTTTGTTAGAAACTTTTTTTTTATATTATTAAAATATACATACATTCCAGACAGAAATATAAAATAGGGCATAGAATTATGATTATATTTTTTGAAACACTATCGACCACAAAGAAACTGCCTCTCGATTCAGTGCAGTCTCACATGCAAAGCGTGGCAGACACCTTTTCAAGCATTACTATGGATCAATATCACACTCAGTTCCAACAACAAGCTCAGACTGGTCTGTAAAACTAGCAGCCCAAAATACCAGTTATATCTCAAACACGGGCATCTTGTACGAAAACTCACTCTAAAGCCCACTCGCGCAACAGATTCACAACTTCTGACCCTACAGAAACTCTTGCCCAACTTACGCTACATATACTTTGATTGGCTAAATTATAAAGCATTATCTACAACAACAGCAAAAAAAAAATCATCAAGCAGACGCAAATATAAAAGTAGCAAAATGTGGCAACACATCACAACATTGTGCCAATTAAAGCAAAACAGTCTGATAGAAGACGAGCACCAGCACCAATATCAACATCAACATCAACATCAGCACCAGCGCCAGCACCAGTACAAAACTGCTATATAAAGGATTTGGAACTTGATATAAGCCAATCAGTCTGCCAATGGTTGTGTTACTTTGGCCGCAAATACCCAAACCTTCATGTACTCAAGACGCTCCACTTTACAGATATATGAAATATTAACCAAAGGAACATGTTGCTCAAGTCCTTGATTATCGAGCCATTCTTTCGGGACCTACAAGATATCAGTGTTGAAATTGAGCTATCTGCATTACAGATACATTCCTATCTGGCGACAGCTCAGACTCCTCAATACAAAAATCCGACGGATATCTCACAAAGTTTGCCCAAGTTATAATGAACTACAAGGACCAGAGTTACGACAATTCCAAGACGGGAACAGAGAATTTATCAGCATGTTCTCGAGTACTTTAGAGTCATTGTCCATCGATGCCTATATAAGACGCACGCTGTCTACCAAACTCACCAACATAATAGACTATAGTCCCTGTCTGACCGAGCTTTACATCAGCGCGTTTGGAATAACGCTGAAACTAGATGAAGTTCTGGCCAGCTTTCCTGCGTTAAAAACAATTGGAATCCAGCACTCTGACCTCCGTCTGGGCAAGAATTTCCCCGAGTGTCCAACGAACCACGGTTTGACCAAGATCATAGCAATTTCTGTGTGGACAGACGTCAGGACTCACAATCGTCTGTCGCTACAGTGTCGACAGTCAAATTATCTTTGTTTCAAGGGAGTCCGGGTTGAAGGTTCGGTTTGTCCTACCACAGGAAGGATATCCATCGACATGTCGTTTACGCACTTTGCCATATTTTGGCTTGAAGACATTCAATTTACTAAAAAAAAACAAAAGTGCATACACTATTGGACTCGTTGCATTGTCAGTGCGCAGTCCAAAGGCACTACAAATTCTAGACTCTAAAGACCATGATAATTCCCGGTCACAAAAGGAGGAAGAAGAAGACGACAATGACAACGACAACGACGAATCAAGAGAGTGGATCTGGTTTCATATACAACACACCACTAGAGACCCATTTTCAGGATATATCGTACGCCAACTAGAGCAGGATGAGTCACAAGAAGTTATGGAATATTTTGCAAACTATAAGCTACAGAAGGAGCAGGAATCTAATCCACCCGATAGAAGAATCGATTTCCAACTATCGCCAGTGAGGAAGTGGGAATATGCTCTTAGACTAGGTTATGCTTTATTCAAGTGTGGCTCAATTGCAGAGTAAATGATCAACTGAAAATGACAGAAACCCTTTCGACGGAATCAGTGCGCTTTTCTAGCTATAATAAAAAAGAAGAAGAAGAAGGTTAAGAGTTCCTGCTGTATACTTAGAGATACCTAGTCTATCAGTGTTTGAATACAATTTTTTCTTTCAAAAAAAACGGACACAAAATTGTATTTATTTATGTGTTTTGCTTCAAACAAAAAGAAGCTTCCGATTTCTGCCATACTTACAAAAATATTATACAGCTGTATTTGCTTTAATAATTAATATATATAAAAGTATTGCTTTGTTTGGTTCCAACAATCTTCTCATTTTTTATCTATATATTTGTCCTACTTACTCTATGAGTTTTTGTTTTGTTTTGTTTTTTTCCTACTCATAGAGTGAGTGCGGGACTGTAATGGGTGAAGCGATATAAATAAATAAATAAATAAAAAGTCGATAAAGTCATGCACATAAGACGAAAAAGAAGCATATGAATTACAAGAAATACATATAATAAAACAAAATAATCAGCTAGATTTTACAAGCTCCAAAAAAATACATTATAAAAGTTGGAGTCCTTCAAACGCGATAAGGAATCGTTATTATCGACTAGGGGGCTACACACCCATTCAACATAACCTCTACCAAGATCATCTTCCCAAAACTTCTTCGTTGTCTTTCTGCCAAAACCTTTTCGCACTTCTTGTGTACCGATGTTCTTCTTCTTATATGAGCTTTTATGGTAATAAGCAAGTATTTCTTGGCAATCTTGATCCGAAAGCTCCCTGTACCATTGCGTAAAGTTATTAACGTTTTCTGTCTCCTTGAAGCGGTGAAGCCAACATATGTAGCTCATAGAAGATTCTACACCTGCTGTTTCTTCATTTTCATCTGACTGGCTGGCTTCGGTGAGCTGGGACATCAATATCAAGTTTATTTTGGTTCTTTCGTTTAGATGCTCGGTCGATGAGTAGAATTGAACACGGTCGAATATTAACTTTTGGGTTTTTGTATATGGCATGTCAATGCTCACTCCTTTCGTTTCTTCGGATATTATTCCACAAATTTGTAGTCTGGTCAACTTGATAAGTTCCAAATATCTGCACCTGAAATACAGATGGTTAAAGAAACAAGTTATTA